CTTTTTTTCTTTTTAATATTTCCACTTTTAATTTATTAGGCTTATATTGACAAAGAAACCATAAGCTCGTTATTTATTTATTTGTTTAATTTATTTATTTTTGGCTGCATTGGGTCTTCATTGCTGCGTGCAGGCCTTCTCTAGTTGCAGCCAGTGGGGGCTACTCTTCGTTGCGGTGCGTGGGCTTCTTCTCATTGCGGTGGCTTCTCCTGTTGCAGAGCACAGGCTCTAGGCGTGTTGGCTTCAGTAGTTGTGGCACACGGGCTCAGTAGTTGTGGCACGCGGGCTCAGTAGTTGTGGCACACGGGCTCTAGAGCGCAGGCTCAGTAGTTGTGGTGCATGGGCTTAGTTGCTCTGCGGCATGTGGGATCTTCCCGGACCAGGGCTCAGACCCATGTCCTCTGCATTGGCAGGTGGATTCTTAACCACTGGGCCACCATGGAAGCCCTGGAACGATTCTTTTCACCCCCTGCAGACACAACAGGGAGTTCTGCGGGCAAACTCTCCCTTTGGGTTTGAGACGCCTTTCCCTGGAGGGCTGTTGCAGAAGGGCACTCAGACCCCACCAGAAATGACTGTCCTGGGCTTCTGTCCAGACAACCTAATATGCGGGAGTGACCTCCTCCGAGAGACGGCCACTCCTGCACCCATTTGCAGATAAGGAGACCGAGGCACAGCAGGTTCCTGTCTTGCCCCTGCCCACGTTCAAGCCCAGGCCTGTTGGACCCCAGAGCTCGAGGACCCCAAGGCTCCTCCCCAGGGCCCAGTAGCCTGAGGGAACTGGGGGCCCCGGGGGGCTGCTCCGGGCTCAGAGAGCCTGCCTGTCGTGGAGACACTCATGGGGACTGTCTGGTTGTGTCAGGGCTAATCTGTCCCTGCTTCAGAGGCTCCGAGGAGAACTGGGTGGTCCCTTCCTGGCCTCCTTCCTGGATCCGGAGTGGCCCCAACACCCCACCCCTGTCCAAGGTGGCACATGGCACCCAGTGCCACCAGGAGATGCTGTTTCTCCCCTTGAGCAGGTCACCCCACTCTTTTATATATATATATATATATATGTATATGTATGTATGTATATATATATAATTTATTTATTTTTGGCTGCGATGGGTCTTCGTTGCTGCACGCAGGCTTTCTCTAGTTGCAGTAAGCGGGGGCTACTCTTCATTGCAGCGCGCAGGGCTCCTCCTTGCGGTGGCTTCTTGTTGCAGAGCACGGGCTCTAGGCACGTGGGCTTCAGTAGTTGTGGCACGTGGGCTCAGTAGTTGTGGCTCGCGGGCTCTAGAGCGCAGGCTCAGTAGCTGTGGCTCACGGGCTTAGTGGCTCCGTGGCATGCGGGATCTTCCCAGACCAGGGCTTGAACCCTTGTCCCCTGCATTGGCAGGCGGATTCTTAACCACTGCGCCACAAGGGAAGCCCCAGTCACCCCACTCTTAAATAAACTAGTCACCCTGTGGGCGGATGTGGATGTGTGGCCTAGTGGAAAGTCCCCAGGCAGCGTTGCGGCACTTCGGAGCACGCGGTCAGGGCGGAACGCATCTCACCACCGGCCCTCGGAGCGCCCTTGAGCACGTGGCAGGTCGTGCCTGCTCTGGCAGTTTCTGAGACAAAGGGAGCAGCAACCAAGCTAGAGTCGGGCTGGGGTCGCCCCCTGCTCAGATGGGCCCCAGTGTCCCGGCTCGGACCTCTGTGCCTGGGGGAGGGTGGAAAGAGCCTGGCCTTGCTGGGTTGCTCGGGCTGAGGGCGGCCATGATGCTAGTTGAGGCGAAGTGTCTACACAAGTGTCCCCGTCCGGCTGGAGTCTGCAGTGGCCCGCTGTCCACACAGGGCTACGTGTTGGTTCAGGCGTGATGGGGCACCTGCTCTCGTGGGGCTCCCCAGCTGGGAGGGAGGCAAACATCAGACAGGCCATCAGACTGGTTGGATACCCTGAAGGAGAGGAGCTCTGTTCTAGAAAGAGAGCGACGGGGGGCGCCCGAGCTGCCGTGAGAGGGTGGACCGGGCTGGGCAATGGGGCAGGGGTGGCGTGGGGTCTGTGGGGTGGAGGTGTCTGTTCCCACAAAGCTGGGACCAATTGCTGGGGACCCTCCACCACTGTGGACTGGCCGCTCTACACTCTTGGATGTTGGGGGAGCCTAGTGATGTTGCAGTGGGTGGTGGGAGCGGAGGAGGCGCAGGAGGTGAGGGATTTGGTGGGAGCCTTCCCAGCATCTGGGAGCTGACGAACTGTGGACATGGCTGGAGCTGCCCTGAGGTGCTTCTGACCACCCCATCCCCAGCGAATGACCACAGACCCCAGAGTGCACTTTCTGAGCCAAGGGTCAGGGAAGGGGAGGCCCTCAGCAGCACGGGGGTCTGTCCTTGTCAGTTTCAAATTAGGTCCCAGGCCCTCAATGACCTAGTCCGTCTTCCAACTTTCAGGCACCTTCCCGTGGTGGCCAGCCAGTGGTAAATAAAGACTGTGGGCTGTGAGAATAAAGATGTCACCATCTCTGAGAGGTGAAGAGGCTGGTGTTTTGGCTATAATTGAAGTTTTCACGACTTTTAAGAAGTGACCAGGGACTTCCCTGGTGGTCCAGTGGTTCAGAAACCACCTGCCAATGCAGGGGACAGAGATTCGATCCCTGGTCTGGGAAGATCCCACCTGCTGTGGGGCAGCTAAGCCTGTGCGCCGCAACTGCTGAGCCCGCGTGCCACAACTACTGAAGTCCGCGCGCCTAGAGCCCGCGCTCCGCAACTAGAGAAGCCCCCCCTCGCCGCAACAAGAGAAAGCCCGCGTGCAGCAACGAAGACCCAACGCAGCCAAAAAATTTTAAAATTTAAAAAGGAAGCGATCACTGTGTCTCCTACCATGAGTGACACTCAGGATGGCGTCCTCTTGTGTCTAATGCTCATAATCAACTTCTTTGTTGTTTGAAACCACTTTTGATTAGAAGTTTCTTCGGATTTCTACCCGAAATGAGACGTGATTAGCCACGTGGTTGGTGGGGGGGCTTGCACAGGAGACAAAGCAAGGGTGTGTTTCCATCTGTTCTTTTTTTTTTTGGCGGTACGCCAGCCTTTCACTGCTGTGGCCTCTCCCGTTGCGGAGCACAGGCTCCGGATGCGCAGGCTTAGCGGCCATGGCTCATGGGCCCAGCCACTCCGCGGCATGTGGGATCCTCCCAGACCGGGGCACGAACCCGTGTCCCCTGCATCAGCAGGCGGACTCTCAACCACTGCGCCACCAGGGAAGCCCTCCATTTGTTCTTTGAACAAACGGTCAGTGTTGCAATGCCCCGAATTCACTGCCCCCGCATCCCTGCCCCTTGGCCAGGGAGTTCTGGCGGGTTTCCTCTTGAGGGGGGGTCTTGTCCCTCCCTGCCTCTCGGCTCATGGACCCCAAGTCTTCTGTCTGGTCGTGGGTGAGAGGGTGCTGGCTGGCACTGGGGCTGGCATGATGGGGACAGGCAGGGACGCCTGGAGACCCTCGGGGATGCCCACCTCCCCTTCCTGCTCCCCTGGAAGCGGCCCGTGTGGGCCGTGTGGGGGCTGTTCCCAGGGTGGGCCCAGGCGCTTTGCATGCCACGGATAACCGCTCCCGCTTCTGCCTGCCCACGCGCTCACCACCCTAACAGCCACCCACTGCCCCAACTTGTCTGTCTTCCTGGTCTCTAAACATCTTTTGTGGGGGCCTGTCTCCATGGAGCTGGGACATTGGGGTTCCCGGGGTGTTAAAAGGTCCCTGCAGTCAGCGCCGGTCAGGCCTGGCCAGGGATTTCCTTGAGCTCAGCCCAGAACCAGGCTGCATTTGGGATGGTGGTCCTGACCACGTCAGTGGAAAGGAATAGTGCTGCGTCAGGGTCCAAAACAGCACTGCTGGCGGTAACGACCGCACTGCATGCCTCCTGCCACCAGGCAGGAGCCTCGGCACCTGGCTCGTTTCATGCCAGCCCCATGGTTACCCCGTGAGGCAACTTGTTTATACGAGAAAAGCTGGGCTCCATGAGATGAAGTCAAGGGACGGGAGGCCAAGGCCAGTGGTAGTTGGGAGCCCGTGACCAGGAGGGCGGGGGCAGAAGGGATGCTCTAGGGTAGATGTTCAGGACTCAGGGGCATGGGGAGTGCAGAGAGGTTGGGGCAGGGTGGAGGGAGAGCAGGACCCTCAGGACAGTGTTACAGGAACATGTGACTGTCTACAAGGGAAACTGCTGGTGTGGGAGGTGGGGAGCACCTGGAGACTCTGACCATGGGCAGGGCCGCGGGGATGTTGTCGGAGGGCAGATCCGCAGCTCAGAGGAGAGCGCTGGTCCAGTGGGCGACACTGACCGGGAGGGGAGCCTGACGGGACAGATGCAGTCCCACCTGCACAGAGGGTAGGAGGACGTGGGCTGAAGTGCAGACAGTGGCTCCAGGGGGACTTAGGACCACGGTCAGCGTGGCAGCTTGGCCTGGCGGTGCATGTGACGCTGCCCTCTGACCAGCATCGGCAACGCTGGAGCCAGGGAGCTGGGGGGTGGGGGGGTGGGGCCGGGGAGGGTGGAGGAAGGTTCTTTAGCGGGGCTGAGAGCAACTTGGTGGGGCAGCTGTGTGGCTCCAGTGGCACAAGTAAGGCCAAAGCATGGACAGTGCAGATTTGTCCTTAACCTGCGGAGGGATCTGAAAGCAGGTTGGGGGCTGGCCCCAAGGGGCAGGACTCACTGGAAGCACCCTTCCAGCAGACGCTGCCTCTCCCGGGGAATAGAGACCCACGCTTGGGTGGCCACCAAGATCCCTTCGGCTCTAAATGTTTCCGTAAGTGAAGGAAACGCCCGCTCACTAACTAGAAAGGTGAACACTCAGGGGGCTCCGATGTGCTGTCGTTGTGATGTCCTGGCAGTTAGCAGGATGGTCTGTGCTGTCTAACCAAGTGTCTTCCAGCATCCTCGGTACTGCTGATTTCTGCGCCCTCCCTGCCCAGCCCGACCCGGCCGCCTGGCCGCCCTGGGTCGAGGCTTCCCTAACCCGTTGTCTGTGCTCCGCAGGCTGTGTCATCACCATCTCTGGGCGCGTGACCTTCACCAGCAATAAGTCCATGGAGATCGAGGTCTTGGTGGATTCCGACCCCGTGGTGGACAATTCCCAGAAGCGCTACCGGGCCGCCAGTGCCTTCTTCACCTATGTGTCCCTGAGCCAGGAGGGCAAGTCTCTGCCTGTGCCCCAGCTCGTGGTGAGTGGCCCCTCTGGCCCGTGTGTCCCTGGGGGCAGCTGGCCCGCTGCTGGGCCAGCCCCCTCGGCGCTTGCTGGGCTCCCAGGAGAAACAGAGCTACATGAATCCATTCTGGGCAGCTGGGTCCGCTCAGCTCCTGAGGGGCCAGCGACCTTGGCTGCGGGGCAGGTCAAACGTGAGGCCCCGTCCCCGTGGACTGTGGGGGAGGGACTGGGCAGACAAGGTGAGAGGCGCCCCTTACGAGCTCCTTGCCGTGGGATAAGCACGCCGCCTTGCTGGTCCTGGCACCATGTACAAGCTCTAGGGTGGGGGTGAGGACCCTCCCAGGGTGGGCTCTCGGGGAGGCCCTGGCCTGCATGTCCTGCATCCTGGGGCCAAGCCAGAGCCCTGCACCTCGGGGCTGGGCGTCTGGGCCTCGTAGCCTCTCCCTGCCCTGGCTCCCCAGCCAGGCTCTGCCCTGGGTGTGCAGAGAGCAGTGGCAGGTTGGCGGCCGCCACCAGGAGCAGAGCTGGGGGCTCTGGCCCAGGCGTGGATCCTGGCAGGTCTCAGCCACCAGCAGGGTTTGCTTGGCTGCCGTCCTGGGCTCCACAACCCAAGAGGCTGCTATTGGAGCTGCGGAGGCGGGGGCGGCGGGGGGGCACAGGTGAGTCACTAGCATTTTCTTAATTTGGAAAAGAGAAGGTTGGATTCACTGAACATGTAAGGGTTTCCCTCCCTCTCGCCCCCGGCCCCCTCCTCAGCTCTCGGCGCCCGCGGGCCCCCAGCGCTCAAGGCCCCAATCCCCGGAGACTTCCGGGGCTCCCACCCACTCACACCCGCCGCACGCCAGACCCCCATCCACGGTCTGGCCTCGTCCCTGCCCTGCCTTTCTCCAAAGCACCAGCCCCCCGGCTTGTGGGAGCTGCTCATTTGCCGGTTGTCCCTCCCCCACTGGACTGAGCTTCACGAACTGGAACACGTGTGCTCCTAGTGGCTCACTGGGGCTGGAACAGTCTTGGCACTAGTGGGTGCGGTTGGGAAAATGCATGAATCCTGCTGTGTGCAAGGCCTGAAGCCAATCCCAGGAGGAGAGACAGGTGGCGTGGACGCTCGGGGGAGCCGGGGGAGCGCGCTGGGCTGGTGGCCTCCACCTGGGCTGGACGTGAAGTGGTGCCTGGGGAGTGGGCAGGAGCCCCCAGGAAGGCCAGTGGGGCAGGGGGCCGTGTTGGGCGGTCGTGGGAGCTGTAATCCCAACACCTTGGCGCGTGCTAGCTGTCGGGGAGCCTGGGAGTCGGGGAGCCTGAGGCGGCCAGCGTCAAGGCGGGGCGCGGGGAGGGCAGGGTGGCGAGGAGGCCCAGCTCAGAGGCACTGGGCGACTGTGTGTTGGATGCAGGAATGAACGAGTGAATGAATGAACGATGCCTCCAGATTCCCCTTGAGGCTGATGACAGCTTTATGAGCCTCACACATTCCTTAGCTATGCCGGTCGGGGTAAGTGCCCTCGCCTGGAGGGCGGCCCTGTGCCCGCCGGTTCTGAGTCCTCTGCCTGCTTCTCTCGGCCACCCTCAGCCCAGCAAGGCTGAGGCACTTGGGGAAGGTCACACAGCCGGTCCGCGGGAGCCTGGGTGCAGAGGAAAGCCTCCGTTCAGGCTGCTCCTGGTTTGTCTTGAGCCAGTCTGTCACTAGGGGGCCAGGAGGAAGCCAGAACCCTGGGCGGTGGTTGAGGTGTGGGTGCGGAGCCGAGAAGCCTGGGGAGGGGCCGGGGGTAGGGTCTCGAGCACCTGACGCTTGTATGGAAGCGACTGGCAGGCGACTCGGGCCCCCCGCCAGCCTCCCAGGGCCCCTGCTCCCATGCAGCTCCTGTGCCTCCTGGCAAAGAGCACGTACTAGAAGCCTCCGTAAGGATAAACATACTGCATTTCGGAGCACTTCCTCATCTAGGCGGGCGCGAGGCCCCTGCTCGCTCGCCTGGCCTGCCACCACGGAGATGCTAGCCCCCCAGCCGGAGATGCTAACCCCCCAGCCGCGGAGATGCTAACCCCCCGGCCCCGCTCCTCTCTGGGGCCTCGCAGGCCCACAGGGGCAGCGCCTAGGTTTGGTGGGGGAGCCGTCTGGCCTCTTCAAGGCCCCTGCCATGGCCAGAGGAGCCTCAGCTGCCCGCTGGGCCCTCTCCTGTCCCTCCCCCGTTCTCTGCGGGCCACCCCCACTCACTCTTCGCTGGCGTTGGGTCCCCACGCTGGGGCTCCAGTGAGTCGGGTGGGGGGCGTGGGGGGAGGCTGCACAGGGCAGGGTTGGTGAACCTGGCCTTAAAGGATGGGGGGCTTCACCGTGTGGAAGGAAGGAAAGGGGAGCCAGGGTGGGCACCGTCCTCAGGTAGGCTCTGCACCGCCACCTCCCCACGTACCACCCCAGGCTGCTGGGGAGGGGTGGAGGGTCCGGCAGCCTCGGCCTCTCCCTCCCGAGTCCCCAGCGCTGTAGCCCCCGGCCTTGTGTCCCTCCTCCTCCCCACCTTCCACCACTGCCCCCACAGGAGGGGCCCTGGGCCACGAGTACCAGGGTGCCATCCCGCCCTCCATCCTGATGGCTCAGCAGGGTGGCTTCCAGCCGCCTCAGCCCCTCGGCTGACGCACGCGCGTCCCCCCGACCTCTGTCCACGGCCTGACCTCCTCCTGCCTTGACCTTTGCAACCACGTGTCCCTGGGTCTCAGACCCCTTCCTCTGGGAACCTTGCCTGCTCCTCTTGGCCCCCAGATGCAGGCTCGCCCCCCTTCTCCCCCAGACCCTTGTTCCATCTCTCTCCATATTGCCACAGGACCCCTGGGGGACATCTCCCTCCTGGATGCTGAGTCCCGCCCCACACAGGCGAGCCCTTGACCTCTGTGCCCCCCGCCTGCCCAGCCTCCAGGCTCCAGCAGGGTGGCCAGATCCAGGAACACTCCTCTCCCTGGCGCCTGCCTAGCCTCCAGGCTCCAGCAGGGTGGCCAGATCCAGGAACACTCCTCTCCCTGGCGCCTCCTTGAGGCTGAGTATGCAGATGGCCACCCCATGGCCCCGAAACACGGGGCTCTGACAGGTCCCAACCTGCACCCTGCCCTCCCTGGGTGGTTGGGACCGGGCCCCGGGCCTCCTTGCTTTACTCTCCCATATGGGCTGCCTCTCTCCACAGGGTCTCAGCAGGCATTTCAAATGTAACATTCCGAACTGAACCGTTGTCTCCCAGCCGCCTCCCCCCAAAACTCCCACTCCTCCTGGTGGATTCCCTCCCGGTGAGCCTGGGAACCGGGCTGGCCCCTCCCTCCCGCTCAGCCCCAAGCTGTATGCCCTCCCCCATTCCTGCTGCCCTCACCCTGACTCTGCGCTGCATCCCGGCAAGTTTTTCAGAACAGAATTGCGTTGGCTGCCTCCCGCCTGAACTGCTCAGCAGCTCAGCGGCTCCTCGCTGCCCTGGGCATGGGGTCCAGCCAGGCCGGCCACCTCTGTTCCTCAAATCCCAAACTCAGTCCCGCCTCAGGGCCTTTGCACTTGCTGTTCCTCTGCCTGGACACCTTCCCTCAGATGGTCACGACAGCAGCTCCTTCCACCGTTTCTCAGATATTTCCTCCTTTGATGACCTTCCCTCCCCTCTCTGGATAAAGCCTTACTCCCCACGCCCACCCCATCACCCAGAGACTCTTTGCCGTTGCCTGGAAACCAGCCTGGAGTTGGTGGGAGAGAGAGCAAAAGGAACTGAGAGGGCTGGGGGCCGAGCTGGCCTCTTGTAGCGGGAGAGGAGGGGCAGGGACACACCCGAGGCCCCCCCCCGCTGCTAGAGGGCAGGCCCGGCCCAGGACAGCCTTCCGGCTGTCCGAGCCCTTTCCTCTACCGTCAGCTGAGGGAGAGTGGGGCCTGCGGGACACCCCAAATGGCCCTGAGACCAAGGATAGCCAAGGAGTCGGGACCATCTTCATTTTGAAAAGGCTCCCGCAGAGTACATGCAGGTGGACAGGGTGTCCCGGCAAGGTCTGCATTCCGGCCGTAGCCGGCTGTAGTGTGCGCCCGCCCAGGAGCCCAGGAGCTGCCTCGGGCCTGATTGGAGCTCTCTATGGCTACCCCCTCTGCCCTGCCCGCACCCCAGAGCTCAGGCTGCTGGGGAGACCAGTGCCGCAGCCAGGGTGGAGGGACAGCAGTCCGGGCTCAGGGAGGAGAGCCTCTGGCCCCGGGCTCCAGTCTGCATGGAGAGCCCTTTGTGGAGGAGCCCGTGACCTTCCCAGAGCTGGGACACTCTTATGGTGCCGGGCTGGTCTGTGAACCCTGGGGGCTGTCTGTGCCCTTTCCAGAAACATAGGGACCTGGGGGTCGGGGGGTCGGTGCAGGAGGGGCTGCAGGGGGTTAGGGGAAAGTCACCTGCTTGAATGAAGGGGAAGGGAGGGTAACCGAATTCCCAGGTCTGAGGGGCCGGTGGTTGGCAGTGGCCACATCTTCCCACTGGCCGGCTGCATGTCGATCCAGGCTATTGTTGCTAATTAAAGATGGGCTTTGATTCTTCACTGGGGTGTCCTGGGGCCCACCAATGTGGATAAAAATAGCCTCTGGGGGGTGGGGCAGACTCCCTAGCCTCCAGCCCAGCCTCTGCGGCGCTCGCTTGGGAACCACCGACACCACAGTTGTCTGCCTCTCAGCCCACGTGTGCCCGCGTCGGGGCTCAGCCCTCCCCACCCCTGCTGTCAGCACTTATCCTCCTGTCTATTTTTAGCTCCCATCCCCAGGGCCCGGCTGACATTGAAGGCAGGCGTGGCTGTTGGAGTTCTTCTTGATGAATATTTTATGCTGGGGAGGGCCTACTGCACCGCGCCCGCCCGGCAGCTGCCGGCACTTCCAGGCTGCTTATTAGAGGAGGCAAGCGCGGGACGCGGAACCAGCCAGGCCCAGGCCCTGCCTCCTTCTAAACGCCTCCCTGTGGCCGTGCCCTCTGACCTCGGGGGTGGCAGACAGACCCACAGCACCTTCCAGCTCTGGAGAGGTGGTACGGAGGGACGTGGGGG